TCTCTCTCTCTCTCTCTCTCTCTCTCTCTCTTTCTCTCTCTCTCTCTCTATCTATCTATCTATCTATCTATCTATCTATCTATCTATTTCTCTATCTCTCTAGAGTAGTCCCCGCCCCCCCCTCTCTCTCTCTCTGGTAGGGCCGCCCCCCTCTCTCTTTCTCTCTCTCTCTGGTAGGCCCCCCCCCTCCCTCTCTCTTATTTTTTTTCTCTCTGTCACACTCATAATAATAAATGAAACAAAACTCTTTCTCTCTCTCTCTCTCTCTCTCTCTCTCTCTCTCTCTCTCTTTTTTTTTGTTAGCTCTTAGTCTCATTGATTTGGCTACCTTAGGGCTGCGTTCCCCGCGCCCACGCGGTAGACAATAGAAATTAGCCCACTGAACGATAAACACACTTCTTTAATTGTTAGGCCGTTGGTGATCAATAGCGCGATGTTGGCTGCCCTTTGGTACAAATCTGCAATTTGGGCCCTTAGTAAGGAGACTCTTCGATCGCTCAAGCAACAGGTGACTGCCCTGTTGTGGAGAGGTAACTTTGAAGTCCCCAGCGTGATCAACAGGGTGGCGTCACGGTGGTCGTTGGCGATTCAACCCGAGGACTACTTCCTGCCACAGACGATCAGGGCGGGGGCCAACATGCTTCCCCTTAATTTTGAGAGGCATGGAGTCGTCCCCTGTATAGCCTAGGAGTAGTGGTAGGTAGATAGTGAAACGTGAAATTGAGAGAAAAATATAGCTTAGCCAAAAGAAGAAGGGGTAACTAGGACGCAGTCACGACTTTAATTTTAAATGCACTTCATACATGCCTCAAATACCCCATGCAACCCTAAAGTTGGGTTGTATACATTCACCATTCTCCTCCCTTTGGAGCAACATTCTCGAAATCGTGACCGAAACACATTTAAAACTGAAAACCATGATTGCGTCCTAGTTTTCCGCTCCCCCCCAAAAGGTGGTCACATGGCATACTAATAGTAGGACTTTCTTACTTATTCATGGATGTAATTGTGGTCAGATGCATCTAGGTCAGGCCATAAACGGGGTTAGATACATTTGACTCGGGGCACAACCCAATCGTTTGGTTGAGCCTACAATTCCCATGAGGGAGTCGCGAGTTTCAAAAATGCTTGCTGGCATAGTAACTTGCAGCGAAGAGACAGATTGACCGGTGGCTGAGCCGACATGCCTGTGTGGGCGGGTTGGGTGTGACTGTGACTGGGTACACAACTTGTGTGCAATTCCCATGAAGGAGGAGCGTGCTTGGATGAAAAATGCAAATTTATTTGAGATAGAGCTAGTGTGAGTATGCCCTGAATTTATCGTAAAGGGGAAGTTTGGGGAAAAAGAAGAAAAGATTCAAGAAATAACAGCAGACGCGGCATGTTTTGAAAACCTAAAGGCAAAAAAAACTCGCACTGGCAAAGAAACCACGTGCCAACTCAAAATGAGCGATTGCGGTACAAAAGTATCCGTTGGGCTTCCCCCCCCTCTGACACCACGGTCGCCCCCTGTAAATATGACACCCGGTCTGACACCACCGGAGTCGGTACTTCCATTGCCTTTTCGAACTCGGTACGATTTTCTTTGTCGACGTGGTTTTTTTTTTGCCCATTCGATACGCAAAGGTGACATGAACGTACTTAACCCAGAATTCAATTTGTTTCTCCCAACCCCTCATCCTTAGTAAACATATGTGCCCTCCCCCCCCTCAGCCCCCCCCCAAAGAAAATAAAAAGGAAAAAAACGAAAAAGGTTGTGCAACCGACTTAGAATTTCAGCCAAAGGTTGCTGTCTTTAACAAAAGAAAAAGAAGAAAAATAACAGTCAATTACCTCTCTTCCCTTTTTTTTTTTTTTTTTTTTTTTAATTAGCTCTCTTCACTTTACCGTACGATCAGCCACATGGAGGCGACTCATAGTAGATGATGACAATATGATCATCACGACTATGGCTATGTGGCTACACGACTCTGAAAGATTTAAGAATTGCTTTATGCACTGTTTTCTTTTTTATATTATTTTAATGGACATCACATTGCAGCACGCGGGAACACGACTATGGAGTTGTAAAAATTGCAGCATGCACTTTTTTTTTTTTTTTTTTTTTTTTTTAATGGACATGGAATTGCAGCATGCACTGTCTTACATCAATTGGACAAATACATATATGAGACCCTAAAGGAGCAACACGACAAGCACGAAGTTGCAGAAGCGAACTTTCGACGTCTTAGCTATATGCGATACGCAAATGACTTTGTGATAGGCATTTTTACCGACCCTCTTCCTGACGCAATTGAGATACGCGAGCACGCGTTTCTCTGAATCATCATATTGTACACGCGTTACACACCCGTTCGCCACATTGTTAATACGGAAGTGTTTCGAGCATCCCAAACCCAAAGGGTTCCCCACATAGGTTTTCCCCAAAAGCTTCCAGTAACTAGAGTGAAGAAGGTAGGACTAAGAAGGTGAACAAAGCGCCGATTTTGGCACTAACTTTTGCACTAGTAACCAAAACCCACGCCCACTAGTATCCCACCACGCCCACTAGTAACCCAAACCCAATAAGTGAAAAATGGGATGTCTAGTAACATGAAACAACACACTACTGATAGCCATTCCAATATAAATACGTGAACTCATCCAAGCTGCAGGCACATGTACATATTATATGATACGATAATTTTCACCTTGTTGAAAATGACATGGTACTACCCAAGTTGCCTTCAGTTTGTTCGATTTAGCTTTCTTAGCACTATGCTATCATATGAGCAACGGAATTCGACATTTATTGTGGGATTTAGGGCACAGCTTAGATTTATCAAAAGTGTACTCCAGCACCTGACTCCTGAGGAGCAGTTACGAGTCGTCACCGCCACGGACTGACAGAGGAGGTAGAATTGCTTGAGGTGCTCTCTCCGATTACCAGCTGGCTATCTGGCTATGTGGCTATACGGCTATACGGCTATTGCTATACGGCTATCTTGCGGATTGGAAAAGGACGTGGAATTGCTAAAGCTGCTCTCTCGAATGGGTATCTGGCTATCTAGCTCTACGGCTATTAGGCTGTGGAGATTGCAGCTACCTGTCTACACGGCTATCTGGCTTTGGCGATTGGAGCTATCTGGCTACCTGTCTATATGGCTATCTGGCTACCTGTCTATATGGCTATCTGGCTACCTGTCTATACAACTATCTGGCTATCTGGCTATCTGGCTATCTGACTATATGACCGTCTGGCCAGCAGGCTATCTGTCTATCTGTCGGTGGAGATTGCGGCTATYTGGCTATCTGGCTACCTGTCTATACAACTATCTGGCTATCTGGCTATCTGGCTATCTGGCATCTGTCTATCTGTCTATCTGCCTGTGGAGATCTCAGGTATCTGGCTACCTTTCTATACTGCTATCAGGCTACAGAGATCACAGCTATCTGCCTACCTGACTATCTGGCTATAAAGCACCAGTACATGGCCCCAGCCAAGTTGAGAGTCCGATTGAACCTCTCCTAAAATTTTGGAGGCTCGTGCGCCGTCCAGAAAATAAATTGATGGCGGGAGGCCTCCGAAAGGGGCCCATGGCCGATGGCTGGCATGTCCTAGTGGTATAAGCTTATCTGGCTATCTGGCTATCTGGCTATCTTGCTACGGAGACTGCAGATTTGCAACATGCAAAAATCTGTCCAGCACCTGGCTCTTGAGGAGCAGTTCCCAGTCGTCGCTGCTGGTGGTCCCCGCCCCTCCTGCCCCGCTGCCTGCACTCCGCCGTGGAAAGAGGAGGTGGAATTTCGCAAGATGCTCTCTGGATTTCCCCCCCTCCCTGAAGTTACGCAGTGTTATTGCTTAGTTGACCTCATACCAGCTACTACGGCTATCAGGCCAGATAGTCAGGTAGCTATCTGGCTACCTGACTATCTGGCTATCTCTGGCTATCTGGCTACCTGACTATCTGGCTATCTCTGGCTATCTGGCTATCTCTGGCTATCTGGCTATCTGGCTATCTGGCTATCGCTGGCTAAAGGGCTATCTGGCTGTCCTATCTGGCTATATGTGGCTAAGGAGATTGCCGATTTGCCGCGACCTGACTATCTGGCTATTTCTGGCTATCTGGCTATTTCTGGCTATCTGGCTATCTGGCTATAGGGTTATCTGGCTATATGTGGCTAAGGAGATTGCAGATTTGCAGCGTGCAATCTGTCCAGCACCTGGCTCTTGAGGAGCAGTTCCGAGTCGTCGCCGGTGGTGGTCCCCACCTCTCCCCCCCCGCTGCCTGCACTCGCCGTGGACTGAAAGAGGAGGTGGAATTGTGTGAGATGCTCTCTGGATTTTTCCAGCTCTCCGAAGTTGTATAGTGTTATTGCGTAGTTGAGCTCGAACAGGTGGTCCCTCTCCAACTCTATGGCTTTGTCGTACGCTGCGCAGGCGTTCTCTAAGTCCTCTAGCTTCGCCAGGGCTATCCCTAGGTACATGTAACTTGGCGCGAAAGTCGGCTTTAGGTTGATGCTAGCGCTGAGGAACTGGAAGGCGCTAGCCCATTGAGATGTGTTTAGGTGTAATAGGCCCAGATTATAGCTGACGATCCATTCAAAGGGGTCCAGATAGAGGGCTTTCTTGAGGCAGGCTATGGCTGCAACGAACCTCTGTTTGCTGAAGAAGCACATGCCGATGTTGTTCCAGATCTGGGGGGAGTTGGGAGAGAGAGAGGCCGCGATCTTGTACTTGGCCAGCGCGGCGTCGGTTCCCGCGTGATCTTGGATTATGCTTCCAGCCACCAGAATGGCCTTGGGATTGTCGGGATCGGTATTCAGAGCGTCGCCCAGGTAGTTGATTGCCACGTGGCTGTCGCCCAGTCGCAGATGCAAGATCGCCAGGGCTGTCAGTATCTCCCCGCTCCTCGGACTTATGGATAAGGCGGTTGTGTACGCGCCGATGGCTTCGCGCCAATCCTCCATCCACGTGTAGGCACGAGCGAGGTACACGTGCGTGATGTCTTGATGGCCGTTGATCTGGATCGACCGCCGGAAGCACTCGATTGCTTTGTCGTAGGCCTTCATCTGCATGTAACATAGCCCCTGATTCTGCAAAATCTCCCAGTCATCGTGATTAGGATGTGGATGAGGATGAGGTTGTGGATAAGGGTAAGAAGAAGGGCCACGTGTCAGGCGATGAGTTGCTTCGTCGTAGGCCTCCAGAGCTGCGCGGTGATTGCCTAGGAGGAAGAGCGACCGTGCGATCTGTTTGATGATTGACACGTCGGATGGATTGATCTTGGCCGCCTGGCGGAAGAGCTGTAGGGACTCGCGCAGCTCCCCGCGGTTGCGCTTGATGAGCGCTTTGACGCGGAGGCAGTGCTCGCTCAGCGCGCCCATCTCGCGCTGCTGCGCGTCGATCAGCGCCATGCACTCGTCGTAGTCTTGTCGCGCGAATAACATTTGGATAAGGTAGTTATCTCTTTCCCGCCCAAAAAAAGATTCCGGAGTTGCGTTTGGATAAGGTATCTCGATCGATGAGGATGAGCGGTCGTTGCAAATGGATAAGGAGGAAGAAGAGGAAGCCACGTCATCGTTGTCGTTGATAGAACTGGGAGGACGGGGAGGAGGAGGATGGTAGGTAATGCCGCCGCCAGCATCGTTCCCGCCAATATTTCCCGCCATAATAACGACGACGATGATGGTTGAAAGAGCACTGGCTGAAAAGCCGCTGAATGATTGAAAAAACGTGTAAAAAAAAACAAAAAAAGAACGTGTAAAAGAAATAAAAAATAAAAACCGTGTAAAAAAATAAAAAGAAAAATAAAAACGTGTTAAAAAAAAAAAGTAAAAAAAAAAGTGTATGATGCTAATCTTGTGTGTAATGATTGGCGCAAGGATGACACTCGTAAATCGAGAAATTGTCCAAAATCATTGTAAAATGATAAAATATAAAACTAATAAAACAAAAATAATAGTAATGGCTGAGTGGTCTAAAACCCGTCCATGCTGTGGTAGTTTTCTTAATTTGTTCTATGTGATTACCCCAAGGATGTGGTCTTCTATATATCAAATAATATATATATAATAATAATAATGTTTCTATATGATTGGCGCAAAGGATGACGCACGTAACAGCAGTTCAGAATGTGAGAGAGAGAGAGAGAGAGAGAGAGAGAGAGAGAGAGAGAATCACACGCTGTTTAGTATGCCGTGATAGCATGCACAGACCAGACGAAGACTTCCTTGTGCATGCAGGTGCAATGCACATAGTAAATTATAGCATACATATCTAAAAACAAAAAGAGAGAGAGAGAGAGAGAGAGAGAGAGAGAGAGAGAGAGAGAGAGAGAGAGAGAGAGAAGGGGAATGAAGGAGCAATAACAAAGTATTGAGGTTTAATGATGTGAAAGATGCTCTGTAACTTCTCTGGTTGCTGGTGTAGAACTAGCAGTGCTGTACAAAAAAAAAAAAAAGGGGGAACAAAAGAATCCAGATATTATATTTGGTGATATTATTAGCGCAAGGGTGGCACTCGTAAATCGAGAAATGGCCCAAAATAATATTTAATAATAATAATAACACTACTATTATACCACAATACTAAATTATCATAATGCCCGTAATGAATGTTTGTTTAAACAAATTAACAATAATAATAAAAATAAAAAACAACAACAATGGTACGTAATGGTAATAGGAGGCAAGTGGAGGTGACCTGAATCTGGATCTCTGTATTAAAAAAAAAAGAAAAAAAAGAGGAAACTAGGGCGCCGCTGTCCCGGTTTCAGTTTGAGAATGCGCTTCAGGGCGTACTCACACTAGCCGTATCTCAAATGTTTCTGACCGCATTCACGCCATACCTGGATGTATCTGGCCACAGTTCCGTCCAAAAATACGCAAAAACGTAGTAGTGTGAGTATGCCCTCAGTCACGATTTCGCGAATGTTGTGCCAAACCTAGAGAGGGAAATCGTGAATGTATACAACCTAGTTTTAGGGCCCGGTGAGGATGTGTTGTATTCGAGGGATGGCTGAAGTGGATTGTAAACTGAAATCGTGACTGCGCCCTAGTTACCCCCCCGCAAAAAAGAATAAGTAATAAAATAAAATAAAATGAAATGAAAAAAAAAAAAAAAAAAAATTAAATTTTAAATTTTAATTTAAATTTGGNAAAAAAAAATTAAATTTTAAATTTTAATTTAAATTTGGTGAAGAATTTCGATGTAACCCTGAGGCAAAAGTTGTTCAGTTTATGTTTCTGTGTTTTTTTTTTGGATTTTTTGAATTTTTTTTTGTTTTTTTTTTCTTGCTGGGACCTTCCTTGGTCGTTGCACGGGCTGGCCACCCGGGACCCGGGCGGCCCGGCTGGTAGCCTAGAAAAAACTAAACTAAACTAAAATAAAAATAAATAAATCTGGATCTGTGCCGCGTTTCCCACGGGCTTGAGTTTAGAGTGAGGTCATATACTGATCACATTACGACCGCCTTGAATGGGTACATCAGGGAATGTCTGCCTCCTCTAGCGCCAAATTGAGTTAGAAAGAGTATGATCGTCGCACGTCCAACTTTCCAAATGAATCTGACCGTGAATGAGATCAGGTGCGTCCACGACTGTCTGCATCCCGTTGGCTGGCGAACTGGACACTGAGGGCATCCATATTACTTATATCATGAATCTGGCCACAATGCGAGTCAGGTACGTCCAAGAATGTCTGCTTCTTCATCTGGCATTGGCGCACTACGACCTTTCTAATCCTGAGTGCGTCACGAAATCTGGCCGCAACTGAAGCCAGATACATCTTGAGGAAAGCGCCCAGCGTGAGGTGTACTCACCCTAGATGAGTTTGGCATTCTTTTCTCAATCATCGGAGTCCGGCTAGATTCAGTGAACGTTCGCAAATGTGACCAGGTGCATCTGGTGGCCGTGTATAACGGAATGAGTTAGACTGTCTGAAACTGCAGAGTGCAGAGTAACCTAACGGCGTGGACCTTCCTCACAATCGTGGACTTGTGCGACTGAATCTAGCCGTAATACCGGTCAGGTACATGCAGAAATTTCCCATTGATGATTGTACGGGAATCGACGGAGACTGTTGTAGAGCTTGTAGTGATATGGTAACGACATACTCTCACTAGGATTTTCGTGCATGTATCTTGCCGCAAATGCGGACCGCATTCAGATCGAAAATTCCAGTGTGAGTATGACCAGGCTTGCAGGATGGACATGCGTGGGGAGGCCATGCTAATCTTCATTCTCAAAAAAAAAAAAAATAAAAAAATCTTCATTCTCTGTATCGTTCCAATTTTGACGGATGTCCCGAGGACCAAACGAAATATTGTCGTTTCTTACACGCTTGAAAGGAACGGGGATTTTTTTTTTTTTATTATTTATTATTTTTATTTTTTTTAAAGAATGCGTGTCATCCTTGCGCAGGGGCCATGCTAATCTTCTCTGTATCGTTCCAATTTTGACGGATGTCCCGAGGACCAAACGAAATATTGTCGTTTCTTACACGCTTGAAAGGAACGGGGATTTTTTTTTTTTTATTATTTATTATTTTTATTTTTTTTAAAGAATGCGTGTCATCCTTGCGCAGGGGCCATGCTAATCTTCTCTGTATCGTTCCAATTTTGACGGATGTCCCGAGGACCAAACGAAATATTGTCGTTTCTTACACGCTTGAAAGGAACGGGGATTTTTTTTTTTTTATTATTTATTATTTTTATTTTTTTTAAAGAATGCGTGTCATCCTTGCGCAGGGGCCATGCTAATCTTCTCTGTATCGTTCCAATTTTAACGCATGTCCCGAAGGACCGGGGGGAAATTTATTTATTATTATCATTATTATTTTTGTTATTTTGAGCCGGGGATTTTTCTTTTTTTCTTTTTTTTGGAGCCGGGAACTTTTTATTTTTATTTTTATTATTATTATTTTTTTTATCCGGGGAAATTTATCGACTGCGTGTGAAGAGCAATTTGGCCTTTCTTCTTGGATTCGTTTTCCCGCTCCTCCCCCTCCGCCCTCCTCCCTTCTCCCCCTGCATTTGTTTTTTTATTTTGTTTGCTTGCAAATTTGTTTATCCTGCTGAATTTGACAATGAATGGAGTGTTTGCTACTAAGGGCGTACTCTCACAGGTTGGGACCTTCCTCAATGCATTTGGTCGGGATTAACAGGCAGATTCAGCTGCTCTTTGGCTAAGAAAAAAGGAAAGAAAAGCCTATGAAGACGGTTACAAGCTCAGTTAGACAGTGACGACGGACTCTAGGTTTTTTTTTTTTTTTTTTTTTTTTTTTGGTAAATGCTAAGCTTCTCTTTATCGTTCCAATCTTAATGGATGTCCCGAAGGACTCGAGAACAGCATTTTCCGGAATGTATCTGACTGCACATTGGACCATTCAGTCAAAACGCAATTTTCAGTCAGAGTACGCCCGGGGAGTGGTCCCACTAGCAAAGAGGATCGGATCGAATGCCTGAATCTGGACGAGTTTATGGAGGTGTGCAGGAAATCGAGATTGAACTGCTTTTCTGCATCTCTGCTTAAAACACATCCAGATTCGGGAGCTCGATCCTATCCTTTTTGCTAGTGGGACCTCGGCCACGGAGTTGGACTGCGTCAAACTCGAGAGAGAGTCTCGAACGAAGTCCAGGTACGTTGCATAAGGCTTCCCTAAATGTATCTGATCGTTATTTACGTCCACATGCATCTGATCGTTGTTGTCCTCTTCTCCTCTTCTCCCTCTCTGCTAGGCAGCTCTTGGATTGGAATGGAGAACGAGAGCGCCAACGTCAGCACGGGCTGAAGTCAGCAGTACGCAAACACAAGCACATTGCGTGCAAAGCAACATACCGGATATATATATATCGTCAAATAGAATATATATCTATTTGTGACGATATATCTGATATCATGTGACAATATATATATATATATATTTTTTTTTTTCGGGAACATACCGGATATATGAAAAACTGCCTCCCTCTTAAACAAACAAACAAACAAAAAAAAAAACACTGCCTACCGCTACTCCTAAGCCTATACAGGGGACCCCTGCAAGCATAGCCACCTACCTCTATTCTCACAATTCAGCTGGATGCATGTTGCCCCCCAGCCCTAATCAGGGGCTGTCAGGAAGAGGAGGGTGGGTGGGGCCTCCGGTGTGAGGAGGGGGGGGGAACGGTTAACGCAACGACTGAACATTTTGCCAGTAGCTGCGCCTCCCATCTGCTTCCCCCACCTCCCATCGAGTAGCAGCAGCAGTGGCTATAATGGCCAGCACTCTCCGACACACCACACACCACACACACCCACTCACGCTCACACTCATCACACCCGTGTTAGTCATAGCCCCCCTATTAATAGCGATCAGGGGGATCAAGCGGGCGGACTATCGCAGTCGGTCGGCTGGCGCTAAGTGTGCGCTGCAGGCGTACAGGGGGATCCAACTCACAACCGCCCTCCCTTTTGAATGCCAATTGCGCTTGATAACCCTCATCGCTAATTAGGGGGATGGAACTCACAACCTCCCTCCCTTAGTGCCAGCAGCAGTGGCTATGGCCTAACCAACTGAGCTCGACCTGCCGGTTGGTATAATACTTCGCCTTAGGGCAAGGCTGCTTAACGACCCCGCGTTCTATTCTTTTTTTTTTTTTTGTGTGTGTGTGTGTGTGTGTGTTCGCTTACACGCTTTCTTTTTTTTTTTTTTTTGTTTCCTTTGTGGGAAAATTTTCGAAATGCCCCTGAAGTTTGCGTTTATTACGGGCGTGCCCCTCTGGCGGCCGACTTACCTTGTCGTGCCCCTCTGACGACGAATGATGTTTCCAGAATACCCTTGGCGTCGTTTGGGCCTCAAAAATGTTTCATATGCCCCTACCGGTACCCGTACCAAATTTTCAGTATGCCCCTACCGGCTGCCCGTTGAGAAACAGGAGTAAAGTTTCCCATATGCCCTTACCCGTACCGTCCATCTTTCCAGCAAGCCCCTGTCGCCGCTGTTGACACTTGCAGTCCCTACGAAGGGAAGAGGAGGGAAGAGGAGTAGGGAGGACAAGGACTATGACGATGACGGATGAGGGAGGAACGAGGGAAGAGGAGGGAAGAGGAGTAGGGAGGACCTTCTATTCGTAATCATATACCACCTGTCCAACAAACAAGTAAACGAAAAGATGACACACACACACACACACACACACAAAAAAA